CCTCACGGGGCGCCCCGGGGACGGTCTGTGCCCCAGGCTCCACGGGCTCCGTGCCTTGGGACGAGAAGGACAACGACGGGGACGAGGAGGACGAGGAGGACGAGCTGGACCAATCGCAGCACCACGTGGCCATCCAGGACAGCTTCCCCTTCCTGAACATCAACGGTGAGCGTTGGCCGGGGCTCCGGGGCCGGCTGGACAGGGGGCCGCTGCGGGCGGCTGCGGGGTCCCCCTCGGGAGCCGGCCGGCACTCAGCCCCGTCCGAGGGGTCCCCCGAATGGGGTGGCTGCTTAGCCCCTCCCCGGCCTTCCCGCCCGCCTCATCCCCAGCGCCCCACGGAGCCACGGCCTGGAATCCGGCCCGTAGGTGCGGGGATCCCGCTCGGGTCTCCTGGGCTCAGTAGGCAGCACCCCGACCCCTGCCCGTCCACCGCTCGCGCCCCTGGGCCCGGCCGCCAGCCCCTCGTGTTACGGGGCGCCCCGGTGTGGACGGGGCCGCCTCTCCGTGGGGCCTCACCCGCGCGCTTAAAGTTCAGTTGTCCTGCAGGTGCACGCGAAAGGGTCAATAATAGGTTGATTTACAAAAGGGGACAGGAACAGGAGCAACCCAGGGAGAGAGAGAGAGATGCAAGGTAACTGGAGCACCTGACCTGCTGGCTGACTGGGCGCTCTGGGAACAAACTGACTGAGAGCTCTGGTCACGCTGTCTGGAGAGCCGTTCCCCGAGTGCGAGAGAGCCATAATGGCCCCTATTTATCCCCCAATGTCCCAGAATTCCTGCTAGCTCCGCCCTCGGGTCCTCGCAGCTCTCTCCTGGGTGCTGCTGGGAGTTGTAGTTTCCAGTCCCTGGAGCAGGGGGCGGAGTCCAGAAAGCCGGAGCAGGGGGTGGGGTCCACAGGACTCCCCAGAGTTCCTTCAGGACGTCCTTCCCCTTAGCAAAATGGCCCCTATGTATCCCCCAAAGTCCCAGAATCCTGCTTAGCTCCGCCCTGGGGTCCTCGCAGCTCTCTCCCGGGTGCTGCTGGGAGTTGTAGTTTCCAGTCCCTGGAGCAGGGGGCGGAGTCCAGAAAGCCGGAGCAGGGGTTGGGGTCCACAGGACTCCCCAGAGTTCCTTCAGGACGTCCTTCTCCTTAGCAAAATGGCCCCTATGTACCCCCCAATGTCCCAGCATTCCTGCTGGCTCTGCCCCTGGGTCCTCGCAGCTCTCTCCCGGGTGCTGCTGGGAGTTGTAGTTTCCAGTCCCTGGAGCAGGGGGCGGAGTCCAGAAAGCCGGAGCAGGGGGTGGGGTCCACAGGATTCCCCAGAGTTCCTTCAGGACGTCCTTCCCCTTAGCAAAATGGCCCCTATGTATCCCCCAAAGTCCCAGAATCCTGCTTAGCTCCGCCCTGGGGTCCTCGCAGCTCTCTCCCGGGTGCTGCTGGGAGTTGCAGTTTCCAGTCACTGGAGCAGGGGGCGGAGTCCAGAAAGCCGGAGCAGGGGGTGGGGTCCACCGGACTCCCCAGAGTTCCTTCAGGACGCCCTTCCCCCTAACAAAATGGCCCCTATTTATCCCCCAATGTCCCAGAATTCCTGCTGGCTCTGCCCCGGGGTCCTCGCAGCTCTCTCCCGGGTGCTGCTGGGAGTTGTAGTTTCCAGTCCCTGGAGCAGGGGGCGGAGTCCAGAACGTCAGAAGGGGGCGGGGCCCACCAGACTCCCCAGAGTTCCATCAGGACGCCCTTCCCCCTAACGCCTGCAGAGGGTGGCGAGGGAAGGAGGCGTCGCGGGCGCCCCTCGGGGAGGCTGGGGTGCAGGCCCGAGACGGGTGCCCTCCAGCGCCCCCCAGCACGTGTGCAGCCCACCTCCAGGGGCGGGTTCTCCACTCCGGCTCCGGCCGTGTGGCCGCGTGACCCGGCCTCCGTGGGGCGTCTCTGGGGGGCCCTGGACACACGGGCCAGAGGAGCCTCCGCTGCTGTGGTTTCGGCGCCGGGGGTGGGCGGGGCGGGACCCCGAGGACGCAGGACGCAGCCTGGGCTCTCCCTCTGCTGTTGAAAAAGTCGCCACTGGGGACTTCCCAATGGCGGAGACGCGAGTCACATCCCACGAGCACGGGGACAATCAGTGGAACGGTTTTCTCCCCCCTGTTCCAGAACCTTCCCTAGAGACCGGTCTGTCTAGGTTCTTGGCTGTCCCTCCCTCTCTGGGCACGCCAAAGCATTTCTTTCTGGTAGAGCTCTGTGTCTCAGCCCTACCGAAGCCCGTCGGCCCAGGTGAGTCAGTGTCCGGAGCCGCTTCTGTCCGTGGCCGCCACGTTCTGCACCGGGGTGTCTCTGGCCCCGCCATCGCGCTGACCCCCGAGAAGGCGCGGTCTCCGGCAAACCAGGTCCTCAGAACCGGGCTTCTGGGAGAACTACTGCGATGAGCCGGCCGGGCCCCGCGTCTGGCCTCGGCCTCGTGCACTTCGGAGCCTGAGGCCGGCTGGCGTGCGTGAGGGCGCCCCTGCTCACCCACGCCCTCCCGTTCCAGGTTCCCCCATGGCGCCCGCCAGTGTGGGTAACTGCAGCCCGGAAGCCGTGTGGCCCAAGACGGAGCCCCTGGAGATGGAAGTGCCCCAGGCCCCCATCCAGCCCTTCTACAGCTCCCCAGAGCTCTGGATCAGCTCGCTCCCGAGTGCGTGAGCCTGGCCCTGCTCCTCCTCCCTCGTCCGTCCTGGCCGCCCTCTGGCCCTCCGTCCTGCAGAGGACAGCTGTCTGCCCCAGGCGCCTCTGCCCAGCTCCCGGCCGGCTGACCCGGCCCCGGGCAAAGCCAGCATTGGCCTCCCCATGCCCGGTGCGATGGGCTCCCTGGCCTGCGAGCCAGCAGGCGGCCCGCCTTTGGCCAGGGTCCGGGGATGGGGCTGTTGCAAGGGGGGAGGGGGGAGATGACCACAGGTGCTTGGATTTTGAGGGCCTCGGCGTCCAGAACGGGCGTCTTCCTGAACGCGCCTGCGCCTACCCCTGCTTGCAACACCACGGCTGTGCCCATGAGCCCGGGGCCTGCAGAGACCCGGAGGCCTGGCTGCCCCGCCGGGAGCAGGTCTGGGTGTTCCAGGGCAGCCCAGAGTGGACTGGGCACCTGTCCGTGGGCCTCGCCCAGGCTCACAACTCAGCTACACTGCAGGGACACACGAAAGGGTCAGAAACGGGTTTATTTACAAAAGGGGACAGGAACAGGGACAACCCAGGGAGAGAGAGCGGGACACAGAGTCACTGGAACACCTTAGGGCTCGGCTGACTGAACACACGGGTCACGCGGCCGGGAGAGCCGGCTCCCGAGCGAGAGAGCGAGAGACGCCATGGCCCCTATGTACCCCCCAATGTCCCAGAATTCCTGCTGGCTCCGCCCTGGGGTCCTCGCAGCTCTCTCCCAGGTGCTGCTGGGAGTTGTAGTTTCCAGTCCCTGGAGCAGGGGGCAGAGTCCAGAAAGCCGGAGCAGGGTGCGGGGTCCACAGCGGACCCCCGAGTCCTCACCCCCCACCCTCCGAAGCCCCTGCCGATGCCCGGGGGTGGGGCGGGACGGTGTGCTGCAGCGCCCTGCTCGCGCCCGGGGCCGGTGCCCGCATCTCCCTGCGGGCGGGAGGGCTGGCGCCGGGCACCAGTGCCCCCAGACGGGCTGGGCGGGCTCGCCTGCTCCCAGCCCCGGGCGGCCCGTGGCACTCAGCGCCCCTCTCGCCTTGCAGTGACCGACCTGGAGATCAAGTTTCAGTACCGGGGCAAGGAGCACGGCCACACCATGACCGTGAGCAACCCCCAGGGCTGCCGGCTGTTCTACGGGGACCTGGGGCCCATGCCGGACCAGGAGGAGCTGTTCGGGCCCGTCAGCCTGGAGCAGGTCAAGTTCCCCGGCCCGGAGCACATCACCAACGAGAAGCAGAAGCTGTTCACCAGCAAGCTGCTGGACGTCATGGACAGAGGGCTGATCCTGGAGGTCAGCGGACACGCCATCTACGCCATCCGGCTGTGCCAGTGCAAGGTGTACTGGTCGGGGCCCTGCGCCCCCTCGCCCGCCGCCCCCAACCTGATCGAGAGGCAGAAGAAAGTCAAACTCTTCTGTCTGGAGACGTTCCTTAGTGGTGAGTCTCCCCTGGGAGGGCAGCTGCGACCTCCTGGGCGAAGTCCAGCGGGGAGAACCCCGGTTCTGGAAAACGCAAGTGAGCCGGGAACAGAGAGGGGCCGTCTCCCCCAGGGGGACGGGACCCCCCACCTGCCCTGCCCCGCCTTCACCCCATTCGCCACCTTCAGCCAAGTACGTTCTTCCTGGGGGCGCCTCGGGGCGGTGGAGCCGACGAGCAGGCCGGCTTGGGGGCAGCCCTGAGCCGTCCACCGCGAGGCTGGTCCCTGCCAGAGCCCCGGGAGGGACGAGGCCACCGTGGGCCCGACCCGACGCGCCCCGAAACTGGTCGCCCTGGCGTGGGGCCGTGGGGACGACCCGCGCCGGAGTGGGTGGCCGTGTCCAGCGTGGCTTCCTCCCACAGAGCTCATCGCCCACCAGAAAGGACAGATAGAGAAGCAGCCGCTGTTCGAGATCTACCTGTGCTTCGGGGAGGAATGGCCGGACGGGAAGCCCCTGGAGAGGAAGCTCATCCTGGTCCAGGTGAGGCCGGCGCTGCCACGGCCAGCT